AGCCGCTGTTGAAACTGATCAGTTTCAGCAGCGGCTGAATCTGGACGCCAGTTCCGACTTACATACAGATTCAACTGAAGAACAAACCTACAGTCCCTATCTTGTACGTAACCCGGGGACTGCCTGTAGTTTACATCTCCCAGAGCTCTTGTACATAATCACAACTCCAGGAGTTAAGAGTTTAGCTATAGAGCTATAGTGCCACACCACACACCCTATGTTACCTGTGCTTTAATCTAGTCCTTGGAGGAAAGAAATTTCCCTCTTTCCTCACAATTAACCTTCTCCTTTCCACAGCACTATGAGGATGATAGAGAAAACTGTCACCATTCCCCTACAGCCACCTCTTAACTGGTCACATATTACCCCGATGCCAAAACTTGCCAAAATCACATATCTAGGTAGTATGCAGTGCAATTGCAGCCATGAAGAGGCCTGAAAGCATTTCTTGCTCACCAACAGAAGTTGGTCCCATAAAAGATATTACCTCACACAGCAACCCATCATTTCTAGTTAATAACATAGCTTGGAGGAGAGGGAGGAGGTTCAAGAGTTTCCAGGCTACTGATCAGCCTTCAACAACATGCATGGCATTTATACGTGGCAGCTTCAACCTTTTGCCTTATTCATGCAGTCCAGGTTCTGGAACCAAAAGCAGAAATGATTAGAACAAGAAGGAAGATTTAAAATAAGATTTCAAGGATGATTGAAATGCAGCAAAATTATTCTTTCCTTGAAATTTAAGATTATGACTTCAATAGATGAGCAGTGAGTAAAAAAGGCTGGGTGGAGGATGAGCCTCCCCAAACAGCCTGGTGTGGCCTTGTCTATGTTCCACCCATGGCTCCCTCCTGCCTGCTTCCAGTTCCCACTCTTCCTCTGGGGCAGGCTGGCTGGCCTGAAGTCGGGACTCAGAGCAGCTGGTGCCATGCCACCCAGCACTCAAGACATGCTGCCTGTCTTCCCCCTCTACCGAGGCTGGGGCTACACTGCCTACCTGATGTTTTGAGGCTGGAGGCGCTGGGACGCCTAGGGCTGGGAGCTGGCAACTGCAGCAGGGGTGCTCTGAGTTCTGTCAGTGGCTTCAGGAAGAATGGGAGGGGCTAGGCTGCAGCCTCCATTACCTGGCAGTACACATGCTGCCCATGCTTCAATACTAGTCCCTAATGAGGAAGTGAAAATTAACAGCAGGATTATATAACACTATCCATTTAAGAGTTACATTTTTTACTTCTCTGTTAAAAGGAAAAACAGATTATGAGAAGCTAGATAATTTCATGGAGGTTAGGTCCATAAAAGGCTATTAGCTAGGGGACAGAAATGGTATCCCTGGCCTCTGTTTGTCAGAGGCTGGAGAAGGATGGCAGAAGACAAATCGCTTGATCATTGTCTTTGGTCCACCCCCTCTGGGGCACCTGGTGTTGGCCACTGTCAGCAGACAGGCTACTGGGATAGATGGACCTTTGGTCTGACCCAGTACGGCCGTTCTTATGTTCTTATGATAATGCAAGAAAGTAGAAAAAATCATTTTTATATTTTGGTTTGTTCACTTTGTTCATTTGATACCACTTGGAACTTGTCAATTTCACTGTTTTTTGTAGTAGTTTAACTTCTTGTCTTCTGCAGCAATGTGAAGAGCACTCAGTGCTCATACAAACACTGCTCTCCTTGCCCTGCAAAGAGTAATTAAGAGGCTTGAATGTATAGCCAGAAAGTGAGGCAGGAGTGGAGGAAGTCAGAGAGCCATCAGTTAACTTCTCAGACCATGGTATAGAGCTAGGAACCACCTTTTTTACTCCTTAGATTACTCTACAACAATGGAGGGCAACCTGCGGCCCAGTGGATGCATGTGGCCTCACAGGGTTCTATGTGTGACCCACAAGATGTTTTGTTTACTACTGCCTACATGTAGAATTGCCGGATTCTTCTAGTTTCCACTTACATAGCTTTTTTCCTATTGTTATTACCAAAGTGACACACAAATAAAGCAAGGGATGTGAAGTTAGATACATGTTGATTACATGCAATATTGACTGTAGGAGCCATGTGCTCCCTCTGCATCCCATCAAAGTACTGCTACAGTTCATACCCTGCAAATTCTAGGTATATGAGTGTAGCTAGCAAAACCTCCCTATCCATGGAGAATGTCTAGGATTAGGGACGTAAGCAACTAATCGACTAGTCAACTATCCAATAAGCAAAAGCTTATTGGATGGTTGACACACTAGTTGACTAGTCGCTCCCCCCTTGCTGCCTCTGTCACAAAGAGGCAGCAAGTGCTGGAGGGAGCCAGCTTAAAAGCTGGTTCCCCCCAGCTCCAGCTCCAGGGAAGGGGCAGGAGCACAGGAGCAGCCAACTCTGAAATGCAGAAGAGCCCCCTTTTGCATTTTGTACATTTCAAAGCTGTACATGCACAAAAGCCCAAGTGGGGGTTCTTATGTATTTCAAAGCAGAAGCTCACATGGAGCCTGGGGTCAGTGGGACTCTCCACTGGCCCCAGGCTCCATGCTGTGTTCCAACTTTGAAATGCCCAAGAGCTCACACTGGGGTTCTTGTACATTTCAAAGGAGTAAAGCAGACGTTCTTATCAACAAATCGAATAGTCGATGGAAATCCCATTGACTATTCAATTAGTTCATTAATCAAAATTTAACAACCCTATCTAGGATAGGACAATCTTGTGGCCTAATGAGATGAAGAAAGGCCACTTACATGGCTCACTCACTAGCATAGGTTGCCCATCACTACTTTAGATTGTGTGGCACCTATTAAGATGCCCATTTTCCCATGCCACTCTATGGATCCCAAGAGAAGTCAGGAAACATCAAGGCAAGAGGCAAAGGAGATACCCAGAAGACTGAGGAAAGATTTTAAATATCTGAGTTGGGAAGGAGCAACTCCTCCCCCATCACATATATATACAATTTCTGGAGTCAGAAGAAGAACCAGCAGGGATAT